ACTCACTCACTCACAGGAAACACAAACAACTTTACTGCATATAGATGAAATGAATCAATCGATGAAATCATCAACGTTAGACATTGTCAGTGAGTGAATCGGAGTGCATCTCACTGAGTGAGTTAGTGAGTGAATGAATGATGCCTGAGCGTGATGAAGATAAAATCTCAATAAGGCAGTGTCGAAGGCTGTTAATCAACTGAGCACCGGGGACTCACTTCCACTATCGTTTTTGACTGTGTCGTCTGAAATCAAAAGAAGATATATTAGATAACCTTGGATTCGCGAGGAAGTTCTTTCAGAAAATACAAATGAAATCATACTGCATATCAACGTTCATAGAAATGCACTCATCTACACTACGATTAATTTCACTCCCATTACTCTCGACTGCAGTTCACACAGTCGAAGCAATCCGCTTGAATTGCTATTCATTTATCTGTCTGTTTATCTTCCAATAAATTAAGCTATATATCTATTCAACTATAAAAATATCTCTCGATATATCCCAGTAACCACGTATTTATGCACCCATGCATTTTAACATCCATCCATCCATCTAAATATCTATCTATCTATCTAAACACATATCAGACTATCTACCTAATTTTGTATCGATAAATCTATCTATGAATCTAGATAGCTAGCTAGTTACTTAACTGGATATCCACCAGAATATCTGCATAAGTACCTATGTATCTAACTGTCTGCAAATATATCCATGCATCTAACAATCAACAAATCAATACCCCGATATAGCTAAATATGGATCGATCGGTCTATTTATACGTCTATCAGATTAAATTCAATCTATCCATTAATCGAACCATACAGCTCTCTCTCTTTCCACGGAGTTATTCGTCGACTGATTTCGCATGTCTTCCACAGGATCTCTACTGACTCACATGCAACACACGATCATTGATAAGCACGATTGTATGAAGATGAGGAGAGCAATGACGAGTAAGCCTGATTTCAACTCTCACACAAATACCTACAAGGCGATGTAAAACGATCATCACATTTGCTTCCCATCTGGCTAATAGGTTGATGCAGGTGAAACAGTTGCGAGGAAATCTTGTTGTGGAGACAGAGTTCAATAGCGATTGCCTTTGTGAAAAGATGAAATCGACTTGGTTGAGTAATGTGAATTGCAGCGTGTAGAGGTGTGTATGCGTGTGTTGTGAATCGCGTGTAGTCGGAAGGCGGAATTTCGGATGTAACTTCATGAACATTTACAATATACTGGACCAGTCAATCACTCACTCACTCACAGGAAACACAAACAACTTTACTGCATATAGATGAAATGAATCAATCGATGAAATCATCAACGTTAGACATTGTCAGTGAGTGAATCGGAGTGCCTCTCAGTGAGCGATGAATTGGGAGAGTGAGTGAGTGAATGAGTGATACCCGAGCGTGGTGAAAATGACATCTTAACAACTCTGGGAAGAATGCTGTGAATCAACAAAACACCAGACACTCACCTCCATTTTCGCCTTCGTCGCTGTCCTCTGAAATTAATATACAAAGACACAATTGCTAAACCCGCATTCACGAGGAAGTTCTTTCATCAAATACAAATGAAATCATACTTCATTTCAGCGTTCATTGAAATTCACAGGTCAACACTGCGAATAAATTCATTACCATTACTCTGGATTACAGTTAACTCAGTCGAATGAATTCGTGTGTATGGCTAAAGAATTATCCGTCTGCATATCTGCAGATGCATTCATCTATACACATCGAGCAAATATTGATGCATCTGACTACCGACGTAAAAGCGAACCTGTACATTTTACAACCAACTATCTACCAACACACAAGCCATTGCATCTATCTACCTATCTAGCTATCTATCTTCTTATCTATCTATCTATCTTTTTTATCTTGTTATCAATCTGTCTAACTATCTATCTATCTCTTCACCTGTCTATCAGTCTATCTATCTATCTATCTGTCTATCTGTCTAATTATCTATCTGTCTATCTCTCCATGTTTCGACGTAACTAACTGGCTATCCATTTAAATATCTGCTTGACCACCTGTGCATCCAACTGTCTGCTCATTTATCCATATATCTAACCGATTATTATTCTGTCCATCTATCCACGTAACTATGGATCTCTCGGTCTAGCTATGCATCTCTCAGTTTTACGCCTATCTTTCCATAAATCCATCCATACAGCTCTCTCTCTTTCCACGGAGTTATTCGTCGACTGATTTCGCATGTCTTCCACAGGATCTCTACTGACTCACATGCAACACACGATCATTGATAAGCACGATTGTATGAAGATGAGGAGAGCAATGACGAGTAAGCCTGATTTCAACTCTCACACAAATACCTACAAGGCGATGTAAAACGATCATCACATTTGCTTCCCATCTGGCTAATAGGTTGATGCAGGTGAAACAGTTGCGAGGAAATCTTGTTGTGGAGACAGAGTTCAATAGCGATTGCCTTTGTGAAAAGATGAAATCGACTTGGTTGAGTAATGTGAATTGCAGCGTGTAGAGGTGTGTATGCGTGTGTTGTGAATCGCGTGTAGTCGGAAGGCGGAATTTCGGATGTAACTTCATGAACATTTACAATATACTGGACCAGTCAATCACTCACTCACTCACAGGAAACACAAACAACTTTACTGCATATAGATGAAATGAATCAATCGATGAAATCATCAACGTTAGACATTGTCAGTGAGTGAATCGGAGTGCCTCTCAGTGAGCGATGAATTGGGAGAGTGAGTGAGTGAATGAGTGATACCCGAGCGTGGTGAAAATGACATCTTAACAACGCTGGGAAGAATGCTGTGAATCAACAAAACACCAGACACTCACCTCCATTTTCGCCTTCGTCGCTGTCCTCTGAAATTAATATACAAAGACACAATTGCTAAACCCGCATTCACGAGGAAGTTCTTTCATCAAATACAAATGAAATCATACTTCATTTCAGCGTTCATTGAAATTCACAGGTCAACACTGCGAATAAATTCATTACCATTACTCTGGATTACAGTTAACTCAGTCGAATGAATTCGTGTGTATGGCTAAAGAATTATCCGTCTGCATATCTGCAGATGCATTCATCTATACACATCGAGCAAATATTGATGCATCTGACTACCGACGTAAAAGCGAACCTGTACATTTTACAACCAACTATCTACCAACACACAAGCCATTGCATCTATCTACCTATCTAGCTATCTATCTTCTTATCTATCTATCTATCTTTTTTATCTTGTTATCAATCTGTCTAACTATCTATCTATCTCTTCACCTGTCTATCAGTCTATCTATCTATCTATCTGTCTATCTGTCTAATTATCTATCTGTCTATCTCTCCATGTTTCGACGTAACTAACTGGCTATCCATTTAAATATCTGCTTGACCACCTGTGCATCCAACTGTCTGCTCATTTATCCATATATCTAACCGATTATTATTCTGTCCATCTATCCACGTAACTATGGATCTCTTGGTCTAGCTATGCATCTCTCAGTTTTACGCCTATCTTTCCATAAATCCATCCATACAGCTCTCTCTCTTTCCACGGAGTTATTCGTCGACTGATTTCGCATGTCTTCCACAGGATCTCTACTGACTCACATGCAACACACGATCATTGATAAGCACGATTGTATGAAGATGAGGAGAGCAATGACGAGTAAGCCTGATTTCAACTCTCACACAAATACCTACAAGGCGATGTAAAACGATCATCACATTTGCTTCCCATCTGGCTAATAGGTTGATGCAGGTGAAACAGTTGCGAGGAAATCTTGTTGTGGAGACAGAGTTCAATAGCGATTGCCTTTATGAAAAGATGAAATGCAGCGTGTAGAGGTGTGTATGCGTGTGTTGTGGATCGCGTGTAGTCGGAAGGCGGAATTTCGGATGTAACTTCATGAACATTTACAATATACTGGACCAGTCAATCACTCACTCACTCACAGGAAACACAAACAACTTTACTGCATATAGATGAAATGAATCAATCGATGAAATCATCAACGTTAGACATTGTCAGTGAGTGAATCGGAGTGCCTCTCAGTGAGCGATGAATTGGGAGAGTGAGTGAGTGAATGAGTGATACCCGAGCGTGGTGAAAATGACATCTTAACAACGCTGGGAAGAATGCTGTGAATCAACAAAACACCAGACACTCACCTCCATTTTCGCCTTCGTCGCTGTCCTCTGAAATTAATATACAAAGACACAATTGCTAAACCCGCATTCACGAGGAAGTTCTTTCATCAAATACAAATGAAATCATACTTCATTTCAGCGTTCATTGAAATTCACAGGTCAACACTGCGAATAAATTCATTACCATTACTCTGGATTACAGTTAACTCAGTCGAATGAATTCGTGTGTATGGCTAAAGAATTATCCGTCTGCATATCTGCAGATGCATTCATCTATACACATCGAGCAAATATTGATGCATCTGACTACCGACGTAAAAGCGAACCTGTACATTTTACAACCAACTATCTACCAACACACAAGCCATTGCATCTATCTACCTATCTAGCTATCTATCTTCTTATCTATCTATCTATCTTTTTTATCTTGTTATCAATCTGTCTAACTATCTATCTATCTCTTCACCTGTCTATCAGTCTATCTATCTATCTATCTGTCTATCTGTCTAATTATCTATCTGTCTATCTCTCCATGTTTCGACGTAACTAACTGGCTATCCATTTAAATATCTGCTTGACCACCTGTGCATCCAACTGTCTGCTCATTTATCCATATATCTAACCGATTATTATTCTGTCCATCTATCCACGTAACTATGGATCTCTCGGTCTAGCTATGCATCTCTCAGTTTTACGCCTATCTTTCCATAAATCCATCCATACAGCTCTCTCTCTTTCCACGGAGTTATTCGTCGACTGATTTCGCATGTCTTCCACAGGATCTCTACTGACTCACATGCAACACACGATCATTGATAAGCACGATTGTATGAAGATGAGGAGAGCAATGACGAGTAAGCCTGATTTCAACTCTCACACAAATACCTACAAGGTGATGTAAACCGATCATCACATTTGCTTCCCATCTGCCTAATAGGTTGATGCAGGTGAAACAGTTGCGAGGAAATCTTGTTGTGGAGACAGAGTTCAATAGCGATTGCCTTTATGAAAAGATGAAATGCAGCGTGTAGAGGTGTGTATGCGTGTGTTGTGGATCGCGTGTAGTCGGAAGGCGGAATTTCGGATGTAACTTCATGAACATTTACAATATACTGGACCAGTCAATCACTCACTCACTCACAGGAAACACAAACAACTTTACTGCATATAGATGAAATGAATCAATCGATGAAATCATCAACGTTAGACATTGTCAGTGAGTGAATCGGAGTGCCTCTCAGTGAGCGATGAATTGGGAGAGTGAGTGAGTGAATGAGTGATACCCGAGCGTGGTGAAAATGACATCTTAACAACGCTGGGAAGAATGCTGTGAATCAACAAAACACCAGACACTCACCTCCATTTTCGCCTTCGTCGCTGTCCTCTGAATGCAATATACAAGGACATAATTGATAAACTCCTATTTACACCTATGTTCTATCATCAAATTCAAAGGAATTCTTATTAGATATCAGCGCTTTTTGAATTGCACCGCTCTACTCTACGACTAATTTCATTCCCATTACATTCGACTACCGTTCACCTAGTCGAATGTGTCCGAGTGAATTGCTAAAGTAGTATGTATCTGTTTATCTCCAATATATATATGAAGCCAATATTAATGCATCTGTCTACCTATATAAGTACAAACCTGAGCATTTACGAGTAACTAACTACAAGCATAACCATCTCCAAAGTACATCTGTATCTATCTGCCTATCTCTCCATCTATCTACCTGCCTATCTATCTACTTACCTGTCTAAATATCTTTCTCTCCATCTATCTATCTATTTATCTATCCATTTATCTTTTTATCGCACCATCTTTCAATCTCTCTGTCTATCTATCTCTAATTATACATCTATCTGTATATCTCTTTTTTATCTATTCGTCTAACTAACTGTGGATCTATTTATCAATTTATAGATTGAAAATCCACATTGAGTCATATTGAAAAGAGAAGACATTCAGCGAAGAGACTCTTTTCGGCGAATTCATTCACATAGCTGTACAATCGCATTTATATATAAATATTTATGTGTGTGTGTGTACATTAGGTTTGTCAAGTTAAGATAATTGATTAGTTAATACAAGAATGATGTAGTATAGATACAAAGTTAATCGGACGGCAACTAAAGTAAGATTGAGTTGAAAAGCTAGATGACGTAATATAATTGGCTAAAATGTTATAGGTCAGGATAGCAACAGAGGTAATTACAGGTAGAGATTAACTAGAAGCGAAATTAAGTGAATAAGTTGGATGACGTAACATGA